AGGATGGCTACTGGCCAATGACTAGGACCTAACAATATAATGACACTCTTGACAGCAGATTCACAGGGGAGCGCAAGTTGTATCGTACCAAGCTGCGTTAGCACTTAAACCGCCCTCACCACACGGCCGACTGTGTTCAATGGTTAACCACAGTCCAACAAATGACTGCTGTGTGCCGAGGGAGAGGAGAGTTTTACACTAAATATAACCTGGTAAAGCTACTGTAGTGTGGAGAGAGGCTGAGGTCTGGGACATGGCCAAAGTAATAGTGGTTTCCAATGCTTTGACAGACTAAACTTTGCTGCTGTGGTAATATATGGACTCAGCCCTCATAAACAGTAATTAGAGATCACAGCAAAACATCAGTGGTACCAGACTATTAGAGCAGTGGCTTCGTGACATACACATGTGGTTTGCTAACACAGCAATATAACAGTTAGGGCGAAGGTATGCCAATATTCTTGGGGTTTTAAAAAAAGAAAGAGGCAGAGAAATAGGAAGTGTATGTTGGCATAACCTTCAGCATAAATATTTCACATTATATTAAATCTGTAGTGCAGAAAAAGGACCTGGATGCAAACATGCCAAAGAAACCACACAATAACAATTCATTCCAACAGTCACTTTTTAGTTTACACTCAAAATATTACAAAAAGCATGAGGTCATAGCCAATCAGCTAATCAGGGATAAATGCACAAGATAATTCGGACAACTAATATGCCCGGAGAAGAAAGTGACTGCTGGTATGTTGCATGAACAACAGTAATAACAGTTTAAACATTGACTAATATAAGTCACAGGGTGAGAGTTCAGGGCATGCCCAGACATTAACTGATAACAAACTGCTGAGTTATCAAAACATTACTTCACTGTATGGATATACTCTTAAGCTGCTTTTCTGTTGCTTTAAAACCACAGAATAAGAGAATAAAAAAAGGAAAAGAAATACTGCATGACAATGGCCAACACAGCATCCTTGGTGTTTAACCCCTAAAGGGGGTTTCTAACCCTCTTTGTTGCCTAACATCCACTAAGACACACTCACCAAAACACACACACTAACCCCCGATATAGAAGACTTTGCTGAGGAGTGAAAATAGGACCCTGCTGTTAGCCCCTCACAAGAGGCACGCAGATGGGAAATATTTGGAATAATGACAAGCCAGGACTCCTTCCTTTCACTTCCACCTGCCCTGGCAGCAGTGAGTTGTGTATTGTGGCAAAATTGACCCACATTGTGGTGATCTCTGGATCTGGCCTTGTATGTACGCAGTGGGAGGAGCAGTGTGCTGTAATCCTGTGTGTTATGGAATGGACTGACTTCCTTTGTACTGACAGACCATTCATCCATATCTGTTATTGTAGAGAAAAGCCGTTCAAATTTTTATTAACACCAAGTCAGAAAAGTTGAAAAGTCCATTGGGTTAATCCTCACTGGTCATGGCTCCATGTCATGTAGGTTACATCTGCACTGCTTTTCAAAGAGAATGTACAGTTGTAAAGATTCTTGACCCTGGACCTCTGCTTATTCTGAAGCCATGTTTACTTTCTCTCTGTTTATCTGAGCAGAGACAAGTCCTTGGTTAAAAATACCTTATATGTCATCAAAAGCTTTCAGTCATACCTTCCATGTAAAAAAAAAAAAACCTCAACAAACGGATGGCTCCTTACATACATTTTAAATAATATGATGCTTAATGATAGATTTAGATGATAGAGTCAGCAGCTCAGAAAAGGAAGAATAAATGTGTGATGTAAGGCTGAAACATCAGCCACATAACGATGGATTGAGATTTGGATCTGCGTAATGCATAAACTGAAAAATATAAGAGAGGGAATGGAGGCAGCACAACAGCAATAATGTTCAAATAACATATCAGGAGCACCTTGTCCATTCAGAAAATGTGATGTTTCCTCATGTGTGACACAAAAGCAAGAGAGTGAAGATAACTCCACATATAAATCTGTTGATCTTTTAATGGATTTACGCCACAAAGACACTAGCGTGTCTGTGGAGTCTAACAGAGAGGCGAAGCTCTCACACTATCCTTTCACATGTTAATATACTTTCCCTTCAGTAATGGGCAGCTCTAGAAACGTTGCACTTCAATTGGGTTAAATCAGGAATGATGGCACAACTAGACTAAAATTCCTACCCCGTACACAGAGAACACTCATGGACACTCAATACATGACTTTGGAGAACATTACTACTCTATTGAATAATAATGATAATAATAATAACAAATTCAAATGTAAGGAAATACAAGGTTCTGATAATTGTATTGTCATACTTAATGGTTTCAATAAAATCTTTTCAAAAATGTAAAGTTAAAATAAAACATGCAGAACCAGTTTGTCAATTAATCAATAGATAATTAATCAGACTTGTTTTAGTCATCTTTACACAAAAGTTCCCACACATACTCTGATGCCGCCTTCTCAAATCAAAGGATTTGATGCTCATTTCTCATATCAGAAAACAAACGGAATATAAGGTATTGGTCTTAAAACAGAATGTAATGCTATCTGATTACATTTATGAACACAATGAGCTGTAGGACACAATCAGTTTATTCTTACATTTCCCTAATCATAAAGAGAAAATAATCTACCGATTAGTTTAAAGAACAATCGGCGGATTGATCAAAAATCTAAATTACAGTTTGTAACAGACTTTCTTCAAAGACAAAAAAAGAAAATCACAGGTCTTTCACCGAAGAGTGAACTATTTCACTATTAAATGTCTTCCTTCACTTCAATAATAAACTGTAATATTCTAACATGTCAGGACAGGAATCACTTGGTCTATGTGTTGACTCAAACTATCTGATTCTAAGCAGTTTTCAGGTTGACTCTTTGATATGATTCCTGCCTTTTTACAGGTTGGCGACAGCAGTTTTAAACTAAACTCACTGTCAACTGATTATCTACGCCAGATTTGTTACGCTTCCTATCCCTACTTCACAAAACACTTTTGCCATCTGACATTGATTACACCTATATGCTGTGTAAACTAAAGCAGATTTCTGTCTCGCTAACACTGCCCTTTCTCCTCGGCTTACTAACACACAAAAGGTGATAAGCCTGGTCAAAGTCTAATTCTAAGGTTTATTTCACAGACTTGTAAACTTTAATCTTATTAACATGTGTTTATTTTACACTTTATCTCTCTTTTATTCTTTAGAACTCTGTTTCCTTTTTTCAATATTCCCTGATCATAAAAAAATTGTGCACTTAATGATGCCAAAGCAAAGCAAGTATAGGACCCATGATTCACTCTACCTGCTCTAATAAGGAAGTGAAGGCCTCCCAGACAGAGGTCATGGTTCTGAACTTCTCTCCTCAGCTACAGGGTTAGTCAGTTAAGATTGTGCTTGTAGTTCAACTCAGAAAGACACGCTCAGCTTAGCTGAAATTAATTTGTATCAACAATGTAACATGACAATTATGAACAATAATTATAAACAGAGGATGACTAATTAATACATTATTTTCTTCAGAACTCAAACCTGCATAAAATCAACACTTGCCCTCATCCTGTATTCTATTAAAGTCTCTGCCCAGAAGAAAATTGCTTCCCAAACAGCTTGAGCAAAAACTTAACACATCTAGATGTATCTAAGAAAGTGCAGCCAGCTTGCGAAGGTAAGGACTACATGGGCCTCTCAAAAAGCAATTAAGGGAGAGAGAGTCATAATATTGAATGGAAAGGGGGGTGCATTCCTCTGAGAGAAGCAGCAGCAGCAGACTGTGAAATTCATATTGACTGGAGAGGCAAACACACACAGGTAAGCAGCAGAGCCGAGCTTTTTCCACCGTGCGTGTCAGCCAAAGAATAGTGCCTGTAGTCTGCTGCTTTCTAATATATTGTGGGTGAGTTCAGCCAACCAAAGATGCTCCTATACAAAAGCATTCAAAGAGTCTGCTCATAGAGAAGCCATAGAGCAGCAGAAAAAAAAACAATTTCCAAAGTTCTCTGAAAACAACACAGCATCTGTGTTAAGTTCTGACTAAAATTATATTTGGAAATTGAAAAAAATAAAAAGAACTGCTGAGCTCTTGATGTGCGTTCACTGATGTGTTAAATCCTACTTGATTAAAGCAGGAAAACGCCTTTAACAATGAACCGTGCCAGTCCACTTAATTAAGTCAACTTGTACTGGGGAGCGCTGGGAAATGGAAAGCAAAGCAAACAGGGGTGCTGCTTCTCGCTCCCTGGGCTTTTCTCTGGGTGCTAATCAAAGGCTTGATCTCCGAGCAGGACAGGCCTCTGGGACGTCTTTCTGCTTGGCTGATCTTGGCAATTTGCTCTTGATAACACCCTCTCTTACTCTGCACCCCTCGGAATCCAGCAACCCATCTCACCTAATCTATACGGCCGCTGAAACGTAAAAACACAGCACATAAAGTCTGAGTCTGTCTCTTCAGGATATAATTAGATAATTGCTGTAGAGCTACAAAAAAAAAGATATATCCTTGTTATTCCATCATTGTTCGGGGTTCAAATGTAGGATTTTGATATTGAAGCTTATTGAAAATAATGTGCTGCTCTCAAATCAGCCCTAACAAAAATCATGTTAATTGTTTTAAAGAGTACAAATAAGACACACAATGTCTTTAATCTGTGCATTTGTCCAATTAAAGTTTTCATTATAAATGTCTTAGTAAAATAAGACAGTGGAAGCATCTGGCGATTATTACAGAGTCTGAAGGTTTGAGGAGGGGGCAGCAAATGAAGACTGCCTGCATGATTTGTGTGCGGTCTGCTCTGTGGTGATGCTGCAATTTCTTCCTCTGCAAAAACCTTCAGCACTTTTCAAAGCCACAATTGCTCCAATTATACAACTGTCATGCCATCACTCATACACTGAGCAAACACGTGGCACAGTTTAAGAAACAAACACAGATAAAGAAGGATTGGAAACTCAAGCACACTAGTTGCAAACAAGGAATGCAAAGCATTTGGGAAGAAGAGAGACGAGTTTCAGGTTCCTACCTTTGAAGGAAATGAAAACACGGGGTGCGGCCAGTGGGTCATGGCTCATCAGGTCCCCCAGAGCGAAGCTGGACAGTGCCAGGAGGGTGTGGACTGTCCACAGACCATCCAACTGCATGGTTGACCAACCTCCAGTCGCACAGAAGGTGTATTTTTATTAAATCTCTGTAGAGAAAAAACAAACACATGAAGGGAGAAGATGCTTTCCCGACTGCAGCAATAAGTCTGTTTGTATCTATTCATTTATATGAATACGAGTCAAATCCAAGGTTCTCAACGGCCTCATTCCTGCAAGTTTCAGCGATGCAGGAAAGAGGTTGATAGATCACACCCAGATCTTGAGAGCTTTGCAAAACTAACGAGTCCCAAAGGAGAAGAACCAAACTTTAAGAGATGTTTCCACACATCAATTTGTTAATTTCTTTTGGTTTTGCTTTTCAAACACTGTTCTGGTATGTAAAGATAACACTAATTCCAATGAGATAAGCTTTTTTATGCTCTTCTCTACGTACCCAAAACACATTCCTACGTCATGACACCAGACATGTGTGCTGCTCTGTAATTATAGGATCACCTAATGCTGGGTTAAACCATGTCCTCACACTTATTCAAGAAGATGACAAAAAGAAAAACAATGTTACCGGTGCATCTTAACAAAACATTAACTTCCAGCTGAAAGGCTTACTTTAGGGGTTACAAATGATGACAGGCACAGACACTAACTGGGACAGTTTTACAAGTGTTTCAAACAATGTGTTGGTGGTCATCAATAAAGTCTGGCGTTAATGAGTGGTAAACAGCACAGAGCGACCACAATGATCCACGCATATGTCACAAATCATCTGGGAGAATTGTCTAACAGGTCACCTCTTGCCCTTACATTCTGAATCAAACAGATTGAAAGCATCCGTGTTACCACTTGCAATGTGGAGGAATCTTAATTCACAAAACACAGTCTCCAAAACAGACCAGCACCCTGACCTCACAGATGCAACACTCAACCTGCAAAGCCTTCTGCCAAAGTTTCTGCTATAAACACAGGACAGTCTGACCAGGTCACCATCTCAAACACTCATTAGGAGACATCATGACGGCCAAAGAATCTTCAGGCTGCTTGGCTAGAGTGGCTTTATGAGCATAACCAGCTGTTTAAACCTTGGCTATTTACTGACAATTTGTAAACCATCCAGCTGTTTATTCTGAGACAGAACTCCTTCACACAAGCCGATTAAATTAAACAAGGCACTGCTCAGGACCAACACTGAGGAGAGTGGGTGCACTCACAAAAAGAATAAAGCCACAATTAAAAGTCCTTTTAAGTCATAAAAAACACAAAAGTTTGAGTTCACAAAAGCACCATCATGAAAGAACTTACAATTTAGATTAATCTCCAAAAGAAGAAGCACAACATATCCACAGATGCTCTTCTCGTGGTTGGTGTTTGCAAGTTATTAACACATGTTGGACAAATACAATACAACCATTAAAACATAATTAAAAACAAATAACCCTTCCCCTGAATACTGTAAGTTTTTTTCCAGTGGAAAATGAAGGATCCACTTAAGCATTTGGTGAACATTAGATTATGTCATATCTGAAAAAACAAACCTTACAATAAATAATAAATAAAAAATGTCCTGAATATAAAAACACGTAAAATAATATTGTGAAACTTTATAAATAGACTATATTTGATCACTTTGTTAAATGAAGATAAATATGTATAGTAAAAACTGTTCAGTGTTCCTGAAACATACACACAAAGCTGTGCGTAACAGACTGGCAGCTTTGGCTGCACATGGACACCAGAACAGTAAACAGTCTGGTGTGGTATTAAAGCGCGAGGTACACCGAACAGCAATGCAATAGTAAGTGATTCATGTAAGATTAAAGGTTATAATATATCCGATACCAGAATTAAGGTTAATTATTCAAATGTCACTGTGAAAAAATAATTTCGTCACTGGGTCGTTCTGTTTATTGCCTTTTAGCCTACAACAAATAGTTACATTTCTATATAATATAAAATAAATAAACACGCATTAAAAGCACGCAGTTGTAGGCAGATACGCTCTTCAGATTTAATTAAAGAATGTTCTAAATAAATGACTAAACAACAGAAAGTGTGGAAAGGTTTGGCTTACCTTATTGTAACAGCTCTCGAAATATAACTCCCGATCAAGTCTTCCAAGTCATTGAACAAACCAATTCCAACAGATCGATCACTTTTGCATCCAAATTAGAATCAATAGTAAGATAGAAAATCCCGATGCTGCTCTGACAGTCCCTGTTCAGGAGGAAGTGTGTACCTGTGCGCTCTGCGCGCGAGTATTGGCTCCGGAGTTGTCAGTGACCAATAAGAAAATGAAAATGTTTCTCTAGTAGGCTATAATCGTTTGTGAGACGGTGAGGCGAAGATACAGTGCCTTCGCACGAGCACAATCAACATCTCGTGGGGAAAAGCAGAGTGAAACAAAGTCCCTGTGGCGTAAAGAGGTCCAGACACGCAGCGCGTGCTCCTAAGGAAAGTTGGGCGCTCCTGACTGTAGGAGGCAGGGCGCTAGCAGGTGGATGCAGAGGCCCATTGCCTTAAACACACCCACAGGGCGGGCAGCGTCTATCCGAGCCGCCCATCAGCCAACGGGGGGAGACGTGATTTCCTACCTTATTAAAAACCGAACTGTGGCAGAGGTGCCAAAGAAGAAGAGAAGAGACATTGCTGATGCAAATCCCAAGCCGTTTTTGGGAAACATTTGAAATAGGTCTAAATGATCCTTATTACTACACAAAGTGCAAGATGTGATAAAAACAGTGGTAAAATTTTTCAAGGTTTTTGACTTATTAGAAGCCAATATGTATAGGCTTTATCAGCCTAGTTATAAAAAGAAACTATTAGTTATGAGAACGAACTTTTGGAGGATAAGGACATTGGTTGGTGCCTATTCTTGAAAATGATAGCTACAGTTTTCACCAAATAATTAATTACATTATGTTTCATTTAATGACCAAGTCATCTTTTTGTTATTAATTTAACAAGTAATGAATTAAATATATTACCATTAAGTCTGAAGTCATACTCAAGAAGTTTATGGCTGAGTTTCTTTGCATACCTTTTGTCAAACAAGGAGCTAACATGGTGTACACCAATCACAGGGAAACCAAAGTGTTGTTGGAGGCTGGTCTGATCCTGACCTTATTTTATCATCATTGATACAGATTGGGCTGCTTCCTGTCCACAAAAGCTGATAACATTATTAAAAGTGAAATATGCCAAAATTACACTATAGAGTCCAGCAATAATTCCATGTAGGAATTCCGACAAAACCTTTCCAACTCATGACACTTTGTCAAGTGATGTGATGTGTAAAAAAATAAGAATAGACCATACATAAAATCATTACTGTTAAAATGTATCCTTGTGAGAACACCTGCCATGTACAGTTTAGAGGAACATCACATTTTGGATATAGTGACTGACTAAGGTAACACAGCAAATTGTTGTGCCAAGTATAGTTACCAAGAAAATATAGTTTTCTTTAAAGGCTGTAGTCTGTCACATGAAGTAGCATAGTTTTCATGCCACTGCTGTTGCTATTGATATTCTTTGCTTAAATGCAAGCTGATAAGAGGAAACTAAATTGTGCCCCTTATGAATGTATACACATTTAGTTCAGACTTCCTGTCTCTTCTACAGCTGCCATAGTACGCAAGAGTGTCTCTCAAGAAGGAGGTGTTTGCTTGCTTTGAATAAGTCGCCTGTATTTCCATCTTCTATCGCTGTGACAACCAGTGAGCAACCATCTGCCACCCACACATGAGGTGTGGAGGGAAAATGTTCAACAGGATTTGGCTTCAGGAGTGCATACATGTGTTCTTTTTTTATCAATCAACAAGGGATTGCCTTAAAAATAAATCTGTGTTATGCCACACTTGCACTTAAGTTCACTGTGACCTCATCTTGTACTTTAAAGAAAAGTACAAGTGAGTATTAAGTCTGTATTATACAGATAAAATAACTTGTATTAACTTGGTTATTAGCTGAGTAAAAGTTTCCTTAGGCTTGTACGGCCTTTGACTTTGCCACACTAAACATTTGACCTGCAAAGTCAATTTGAGTGACGCAGAGCACACACAATGTAATGATTGTTAGGGTCCCACTTATCAGAAATTAAAAGTGTTATCTTGGTTATGTACCCATTGATTTGTCAAAAGGGTGAGAAATGTAATTCATTTGATGGTACATAGAAAATGTCGATTAAAATGCATAATTGCTCCTCTATTCAACCACTGATTGGATGTTTCAAAGTCACAGTTACCACCTGTGAAGATTTTCTATAGCTCATTGAGAAAATTAAACATTTTCCCAGTTTAATCATATTTCATTCACTTTCCTTTCACACCTGAATTATCTGCCCCTCATTCAGTCTGGAGCATTACATTGAGTGGACTATTAAGCCCTTCTGGAGAGAGAAAGTTTGTCAGGTTTTGGCTCAATGGGGCCAAAGAGGATATCCTTCTCAACTTTTCTTCTATGTGAAGCCATAATGTTGGCTAGCCTTCCCACTGCACTTTCCAGCCCAACATAAAGGCTCTGTTTAAAGTGACTTGGCAGAGGTCAAAGAGAAATGGACAGTTTGATGAGTCCAAGTAGACTTCTTACTCTTCAGGACAAGTTAATTATTCAGGAAAGACAATACATTTAGTAAGAAGCATTGCTTTCCGCCTCTCAAAAGCCACATTGCAACTCATTCCTAGTCTACTCCAGTTTACTGAAAGACAAATAACATTATCTGTCAGCCTCGATTCCTTAGAGTCATTCTTTTCTGCTTCATTGGAATCCAAGGTGCTCTGTGGACATTGCCCAGAAGATCTTCATGGCAAAACTTGGCAGTGCATTATTCCAAGCTGTTGACATCTATCTAAGTGGTGTATGAAGTTGTTCAAATGTCTGCAGACGAAACTGTATTCCAGCTCAAGTGTGAACAGTACCTTCTGTGGGTCTGTGCCTACAGGGCATGAACAGATGCCAGGTGTTTAATCAGCATTTATAATTCTAACAGAGATCAACAGATTATGTGTGATATAAAACCAGTTTCAGTATGTGTAAAGAGATGTGACAGTCTACTGCATGCTCTGCAGAGTCTGTTTCGTGTTTGTGCTGAACCACAGAAGGGTTTAGATTCTATCTAGGGCTGAGGTGAAAATGTGGTGATAAGATTTTCTGTGTTTTTTTTCTTCCGGCCTTGCAGGTGTGGATTTAAACACATCTATGTATATTAGTTGAGGGAAAAATGCTTTAGACCTGTGATGTGTCCATGTTTCGTTTTTGGATATCAGAAAAAGGAATGTATTACATTACATTATTCAACAGCAAAGATGTTGAGCCACAAATATTAAAGTAAAGGATTTTAACTGGCATCATTAACTGTAACCCAAGGAGCTGTTTCCAGTCGAGAACTTGGCTCTCTCTCAGAAAAAGTGATTTTTGGATCACAATGTGCTCTTTGTTCCAAATTGGCTGTAACCACCACATTGCCAGGCATCACTACATAATTCTGATTCCACAAAGTATTATTTCTGCAGCAAAATCTATCTTACCCTTAAACTCACCAACATACTTGTGTGCATTTGAGCATGTAAATTGCCTTCAAACAAACCAAAATCTGCCCTGTCCTGCAAGCAACAAGGCTTAGTAAATTTAAAAAATCAGCTTGCAGGTGCTCACCTTGTGCAGCAGAAAGATAGGAGAAAAGCTTGGCTCCAGCACTTTCTGTAAATGATGTCCTCAAAGCTATTAGCATTTAAATGAGAAAAGAAAGCATCATATCTGGATCACAGGACAACTTTCAGAAGAATAAAACTTGTTCAACAGTTCACAAGTATTGACAACAAATTCTTCCAGAGCGACTGAATGTGAATGAGTTGGTAACTAACTTAAAGAAACAAATGTCAAAATTAGGATTGGATGGACCCGGGAGATAACACTGAACAAAGATGGGTGACTCCTTGCAGCACAAATCTGTACTTGGACCACGTCCTTTCTCTTACCTGCGGTTGGAGGTTTTGAGCAACAGTTTCCTCTGTAGTTTTTGGCAACATGTAGAGCTCCATACACTTCCCAGACTCTAGAGGCACGGCCATACTTTACAGCCAGTCTCGCCCCTCAAGCCCAAGGGAACCACAACCCACAACGGCCAGAATGAAGGAAATGGCTTTGATTTCCTTCCACTTTTCACACATCAAATGGGAAAGGGAACGAGGAGAGAACGCTGGTCTTGACAGAGCTGGATAAACAAACTCATGGCCGAGTGTGTGTGTGTGCCTGTGCATACACATTTTGGGGACATTTCAATTATGTGTGTATGCTGGACACAATAAAAGGTGTGTGTTGTGGAACAGGTGAGTTAATTTCTCCCCTCCGCTGCTCTACATCAATGTTGACATAATGTGAAAGGTAAATACTCTGTAATTGAATAAAATCACAAACCGAGACATCGGCCTGAGGAGAAATGGCCAGCTCACTTTGAGATTCACAATACACCTCTGTTCTCGAAGGCATGCCGTCTGGGCTCTTTTTTTGGCTGTCACTGTAAAGTTGAGTGCTAAAATTTGAACAAATAATCTATCTACCCAAGTATGAACGGTGATTTCATTCAGCAGAGGACTGGGTCCGATTATAAAAAAGGAAACATAACCAAGTCCTCTAGGTGGGTCATTTATGATTCATACTTAGTATGCGTCATACTTCCTGTTCACACCAACTTTCTGGGAGGTACTGAACAGGGACAAAGTTAATGTTGTGCTGCAAGGGCATTTGGGAGCGGTAAAAACTGGATTACATCACTCAACCACTGAAGTGTTTAGATACGCATGTGGCAGAAATCACTTTCGCACATCCAATGATTATGTATCAGAATCTGTAGAACATTTTTTTAGGAGGTCTTGCTACTATCTCAGGGGAGACCATAAATTTACAGAAATTGGTAAAGGCTCTGACGAGCATCATTTTCCAAACAGATTAACAGATGTCACCTGATTGTGCATGCCTCCATACACAGTGGACTGTATCTCATGTTTCTGCCATGTTTCTTTTTTGTGTTCTTTTTTGTGTTTTGACGTTACACGTCAGGAATTAATGTCATGCAATTGATCATTTTTTCAATATAAGTCAACAACCTATATTCATGTGCTTTTGAAAGGAACAGTTTGGCACTTATATTCGTTTTAACCTTTAAGCCAAAGAGGAGAATATAAATATAACTAGCAGTTGGCTAGTTTATCTTAGCCCTGAAACAAAAGGAAACAGCTAGACCTAGTTCTGTCCAAAGGGGTCTAAAATTCCCTGACCAGTATTTGATAAACTCTCTAAGAGATATACAATCCAAACCTGTCATGTTTGTTATTTCCCTATACAACAGTGTAAAGATGACAATTTGCTGTCATACTGCACTAGATTATTGCTTGATGGAAGCACTCACTTCCTGGAATTTTCATTGATTATCTGGCAATTGCCAATTAAGAAATAGCCCAGCAA